GCCTTAAGGTGTCGAGGGTGCTGGCGTGAACTGTGCACTGCCACTCGCCTTCTCCATATTTTGTGTAAATCTAAAAACTCAACAGAAGTGAAAATCGCACTTGTTGGTACATTTTGCCATGGGGACTTAAAAATTGGGAGAAGATGTTAAGTACGACGATGGAGTAGGGCAGCCCATCCGTGCTTTATGACGTTTGTACAGAAGAATGTGTCTGTTTGTTTACGCATTCCTACAAGTCGGTGCATGCATAGCCTAAATTACACAAATCCCTCTGTTCGCCTGACAAGTGGTTTGAATGTCCCATTCGACCTCTTTGAACGTAAAAGGTCATCAACTGGACTCCTCTGCCTCTAACAAAACTGATGAGCAGTTCGCGTTTCCACTTACATTATATTTGACGTCCATTGGATTGTTGATGTGGTGCTGGGAAATGGGCAACCCCTGACATGACAAGTTGTCAAAAAGGACCCACGGCTGTTGAGGTGACACTCACAGTTTCATTCTATGTAAGAGGCAAAAAGCACTTCGAGAAGTGTTTTAACGCCAGCAAAAACGCCAGTTAGGTTAGTTCACGCCAACAGCACTTTACTTTGTCAAATGAGTTAGTATTTATAGTTGGAATGAACTGTCTGTCGTAAGTCCTTTCAATGCTTCTTCCAGCGAAAGATTATCCTCCGAGGAGTGAAAGTTACGAGCGACTAACGTCTCGGTTTGGTATTTATTGAAGGGAGAGAGCGCTCATTGTAAGGTGGAGGAAAAAGGAAGGAATTGAGTCAAATGCATTCTAATACCAATCTTTGTTGTCTGCCATTAAGCTCTTTTCTGTGCCGAAATGTTGTCTTTGTGAAGGAATTTGCATTAGTCTAAAAAGTGCAGTTAACCTTACTGCAACATTTGTGTAGCCTGCTTCCCTCGCCCTGTAACCGTTTGGACATTTTCCTTGGCATTTTAGTCACAAGCCTTGATGGAAGTGCCTTTTCCTTAATTTCCTTCTTTTGGGCGCCTTTGGCTACAATCAGCTCACAGTCCCCATCAGGAGTTAATTCGCAAGTGGACTTTACCAGCCAGCTCGCCAGCTCATCATTCACTCATTTGACCTTTTCTTATTGTGCTTTTTTTCCATAAAAGATAAGTCAAAAATTAACCAGTCATGCCAGATGAGGCGGAATTTGAGCCATTATAGGAAAAGTACTTGCCACTTTATGGGAGGAGGTAAAAATAGACGAGCATAAACTCGTAGCCATGTTATATGATAAAAACTTCAAAGCAAGCCCACTTTAGTTGGTAAAAAAGAGGTGTAGAAGTTTAAAAGTTTGAGCGCTGCAGCTTTCGTGTCTGAGGGCGGCATCGCAAACACGTGACGCGCCGTCTGCCGACCGTTTGGACATGCGGCTGTAAACAGAAGCAACCTCTTCCTTTCCGGAAAACTCGTAACTTTGTTTTGGCCCCTTTTCAGTAGTGGTCTGGCTTAATGGAAAAATGCTGCGGTAATGACAACTCGTGACTGGTTCGGCGGAAACCCGTGATAAGCAGGACTTGCGTGGGAAACAAATTCAGCCTTTGATCGGTTCCCAACCAGAACTTTGTCCAAAGATACGATAATTATGGAGAAGAGGTCGGTTTATTTGGTGCCTCAATATTCTACTAACAATCCTTCTTTCATAGCAAATCGAACTTACCAACTTATTTTAAGAAAATTTTGTTTTCTGTTTCCTATTTTACTTCTACCATATTTGGGCATCACAATTGTTACGAGGACCCTGGAGAGTTGGAGCCAATTTCGTTCTTTGCATCACATGCATTTGTTGAAAAATAAATTAAAAGGAGTACAACTGAAGAATCCACTTTCAGTGGTCATTAAAGTGCTTATGATGAACAAACAATCGCCATTAAGACTGCCATTGTTTTCTTGTCTTTTTGTCTTTTATTCTGCTCGCATTGCTTCCATAAACACACAAAATCTGAGCGATGGGAAAGGGACTAAAGCTGTTTTTTTTCGCAAAGTTGTTGGTAAGGTTGTTGGGACTCATTTTTAAACCATCTTTTTGGTAAAACAAATAAAATTAGCAGGAGAACCTTCAAGAAACACTCACCATCACTCACCAGATTTATTTTTCGTCGGTTTGAAGCCCAAATCGCATGGTTGACAGGTTTCATTCTCCGTCTTCCATTCGTTCGGCTTGCACGGCTGGCAGATCCAACAGCACGGATTTGAATTATCTTTTATTATCTACAAAAAAGCCAAATTAGAATATTTTGCTTTTAGTAAATAATCATGTACCTCGACGATCTTAAAAGGCCTGCCCCTTGGAGTGCCCTGACTCCTCTCCTCACTCTTTCGATTGGTTCTCTCTTAAGCCAGTAAAAAGTTTACCATTTGGAAGGAACTTTTGGAGCAAGAAGTGACAATGGCTCATTGAGTTTAGTTGCTGACAGAGAAGGTGGAATACGAAGAGAGCACAAGCCAGACGCTTCCAAAGTTTGTGTATGTCAAGCCTGAGGGCTCTGTTTACACCGACACTCGACCGCACACAAGTGGAGGGCAGTTAAACAGGAACACACCGTACCACTTCAAGAAGTGCTGCAATACTTCCTGATAAGCCCAAGTTCGAAGGTGGAAAAAACAAATTCGCTTTGTCTACCATGCCATATGTTTGCCCAAAATAGGCTTTCAGAAGGCTTCTTGATGCACACATTGAAAGAGCATTAAAGAAGAAAGTTGTTTGACCATCAATCATCACCTGTCAGCATCAAATACGGGCAGGTATACACACTTTCGACAGTCACTGCATAAATAAAGTGGCGGTTCTCGTCTTTGAATGTTTTACCATTGCCTTAAAATGAATTTCTCTTTGAACTTTTACCTGTGGATCTTTATCCGACCTTTTGCATTTAACTAGTTAATTGTGCATGGCATGTCACGAGTCAAATTGCTGTAAAAGAATCAAAAAGACATAAAAACGTATAATCGTATCCACAATTTGGCATAGGTAAAACGTTGGTGGGCGCCGCAAAGCATGCCTACACAATACTCTGGTTAAACCGCGGAAGGCAAATATCGTATTGTCGGCATTAATTTAGTCCTCTTCAAGTGGACAAAGACCGCAAGACGTCTTTTTACTTCCGACCTTCCACAAGCGCATAACGCGTGTTTTAAATTTGGAGAGAATGACAACTCAACCAGCCTATTCGAGCAGTCGTGTTTACTTACGTCCCCTCACTCACCTGTGAGAACCTGAAAGAAAATTTTGTGATTTAACTAGCAATTTTGAGTTTTAGGACAGTTCGTTGCAATTCAAATCAACATAGAGACACGTTGGTTGAAGATTTTACTAAGAGAAAGTGTTTGGCGGAGTCATGCATCCAAAAGCACTGAATTCTTTAGTCACGTCCTATAATGCACAACGCCGTACTTAATCACCTCAAATCGCAACAAAATGCGTCCGTGCCAGGTCAAACCACCAGTCAAACAAGAAAGTGAAGTTTGTGCGTTAATGAAAGATCAAAAGCTACCGCTTGGGAGATCTGCCTCAGGGGGCAGGAGGGCAAAGACACCCAAGCGTGTGTACTCACGCCCACCGTACGAGATGAGGAGCTGTAACGCTCTCCTCTTGACGAAGGAGGCGAATGACTTCTCCCTTCCCCCTCCCAAATCTTGTGCTGCTCACACGGAATCCCTTTCCTTTGTCCAGTCCAGAATACCGAACTTAAGCGACTAAGCTATTATTCCGCCTTTTCGGTGGAACCAATTGTATAGGCCACCCATTTTTTATGGAACAGACACCCTTCCACTAAAATTAAAGCCTTAGCCTTGATCGATTACATGTCGAGAATGCAAAGCTCCCAGCAACGTTCAACAGCTCTTCATTCTCCCTCAGAGGCAAAAGTAAATGTGAGTCACAGCGATGGAAATAGATGCGCACGGAGTCTCCTTAAAATTAACAATTTCTCCATCCAAGCGCGGATAAACACACCACTGCTCACTGATGGTAACTGTCTACTTCCTTACTAATGGTTAAAGATTGAGATGAGGCCGCTGGACGTGTGTGAATAATTAAAGGTGAAGAAAATTATAGAAGGAAAACTACAAAAACCGACCATTTCTGCAAATCTCAAAGTAGGCAAAGAAGCTTGATTGGAAGACTCTCTCAAAAGTTTAGTCTTCTAGGTAATCACAGTCTGCAATTAAATCCTCCCGCTTCATGTGAATTTTCTGCCATAAAACTTCTCCTAAAAAACACTTTGTCCCCAGTTACAAGCATTCTTGCCTCAGCCACAGATTCTTTCGACACTTTTACCTGTCCCCAGCCCTTGGCCCATTCCATGCGAGGTTTATAAATGTCAGAAAGGAATTCGACCACTGCTCGGATGGACGTCACTAGAGATTACAGAGGATCGGGATCAGGACAAGAAATTATTTCCTTTCTCACCACTTTGAAGTGCTACTAATTCCTTTTATGAGTATTTTACAAATAAAGGAAGATCTTTGGTAGATCTTTTAGGTAGTAGACACCCTAAGAATATGTGGTTTTAAGTTGCTCCTATGAGTTGGGAACTCAAAAGAGGGTAAAGACCGCGAAGTGTTTGATGGAGGGCGCTACCATTGAACTGGTACACTTCATTTGTGATTTGTAATGCGTGTTAAAAAGTTTGCAGGTCGACACTATGGCCTCGCTGATCAGATAAAGTCATAACTACAAGCTTAGTGAATAAATTTGCAAGCTCTTGATAACTCACTGGCCAAAAAAATGCGATGCAATGCGTATCAATACATTAAAATGTGTTGGTTTTGTTGCCCTTTTTACTCTTTAGGGCTGACCACAAAAAATGTTGGCTGTGATTCTGACGATTCGAGATGTTTTCCAGTGATTTCCCTGTTTCAGACGCATTTACGACCTTCCGGTTAACCACTGAATTACACTTCATTTCTTTACTCTGCAAATTTGAAATCTAGTAGCCTACATTTCAAGATGAAGAACTTCAAACACTTCAATTGAAAGTTAAAGGGCAAATATTAAGTGCGCAAGATTATCTTTGGTAAAAAAGGCTGTACGCCAAAATGTGTCTACCTTGGCCTCCCATGCACCACAGGGGTCACTACAAAATGACTGAATTGGACCAGAAGCTGTTGCATTTGCTAAATCACTCTGCCACTGAATGAATTCGTCTTGAAGCATTACCAGATGTCCGTGTTGCCATCGGCCAACTTGAACGTAGTCAAACACCTCTTCACCGCGCTCATTAAAGTAATGCTGATAATTCATTAAGTCGTAGCTGAAATATGTACGGGCAATTTATCAAAGATACAATCTACAATAATGCTGATTAAGGCGTCTTCGAAATACCTTGCAGGCGGGTCACCATTTTCATCAAAATAGATGGTATCACCGTTGCTGTCAGTAAAGTTGGACTTCAGTAATTCTTGTCGCAAAAGGCTACCATTTATAGGTAACAAGCCGGGACAAAGACCCGGACGTCCAACACCGCATACAATCTCCTGAACTCGATGCAGGGCAAGAGCAACCACGTAAATAGCCAGATTTAGACGAGACAGCTTGTTATCCTGGTGAAAAGGCAAATTCTTTAAACTTTCATTACCTGTAAAAGGCAAAATGTTTTAATGAATATTGTCCAGCATTTCAAGCCATTAGTGACAGTTATGGCAGTTCCACTATTGAGACGGCCTAAATCACACCTATAAAATCAATCGCCACATTGATGGAGGGTGATGAGTACCACTCAGGATCCAACTTATCGATTATCAATACAGCATTAGATCCCAACGCACATTGTGATTACTCGGCGGTTCCAGAATAAATCGTATTTATAAACATTGTCTTGGGTTACTTAGTGCGGATGATTATTTTCAGTGGATAATTTTAATTTGTTCAGATGTGGGTTTAAGGCAACTCCGCAATCTCTCCTATTTAATTACGATGCATACAGAAAATGCCGAAATGTGAAGGTAAATTAATAGTGCCTGATTTCATTGGCAAAGCGAACTAACCGGTGCAGGGCTTGCGTTTGCTATCCGATGAAGGTATGATTGAGCAATCGAATTTCTGCTCCCAGAACTCTGTGAACCAGGGATTCACGTTATGATGCGATTGTGGCGTCAGGCTGGTGAAGTATTCATCGAAATCCTTAACTTCGGGAGAGTGGAGTTTGATGGATAAGCTGCCCTGAGCCAACCGACTGAAAGCTCGTTCGCCAGTCTTGGGATTGATCAGAGGTCCGAGAATATCTTGCCGATCTGACCACCCATCGCTAACGAAGGAAGTGAACAAAAATGTGGATCTGACATTACGTATCACGCAGTACCTTATTTTCTACCTTCTGTTGGTTCGTCTCTCCAATGAAACTATCATGGCAACAATATAAAAGGCACTAAGTTCATGAGAGAATGAGGAAATATGCTATTACATCTCTACTATCACAACTCTTATATTTTTGAGACAAAGAGTGAAACAAAGGTTAGAGGTGAGATGATGAAAATTCATGCGCTAGGTTGGGAAATTTAGAGAATTTAAGCTCTAAATAGCAGGTTATCACTCAAGCCTTCGATGACCTTCAAACACTAGAAATTAAACCCGCCAATCCATACCTTTGCTGCTTGCAGCGCTCTTTTTTGGTAAGAGATTGTCCTCTGTCCTCAATTCGAAGCGCTACTCGTAGCCACAATTTCTCTCATGTCAAATGCATCGCTTTTATTTGAAGTGTCCAATTTCGCATTGGCATTTTGTAGAAATTAATCAAGTCATTGCAAAATAATTGAACGAAATTAGTAGGTTATGGTGAACATTTTTGCTGTGCTTTTGCTTCCTGATGGCCAATTCCTACGCTACAGGCAATCCACCATCAACCATTTGATGCACTTAAGCCCATTTTTTGAAGCTGTAAACTGTCCGAACTTTATGGACTTTTATCAAGCTAAAAAATATTCCCCATTCTTCCCTATTATTACTGTGTGATAGAAGGACGGGAAACATTTCGTAGCCATCGTTTTTGAGAATTGTGCCTCGCTTAAAACCCTCCTAGGCACAGTCCGAAAGCAGAAAGAACGGGTGAAAGGTGGAGAACAAGGTAATAGGTGATTTACAGGAATCTGCACTGCCTCACACCGAGACGCCGCTCCAACACAATGCAAGTCACCATACTACTGATATAATGGAAACAAATAAAAAAAGGAAGCATTCTTCCAAGGCAACCGGCAAATCGTTGATCGAATTTTTATCGTTTCCAGTCTCCCATTCTTACTGATGCGCTTATGATATTCGAAGTTATGCAACTTTTATAACATAAAAGCTATACATTACGATTTCATCTGGTGAGATAATGCGAGAGAGATTTACAGATTAGGAACAAAGTTTGAGTTCGAGTGAGGTGATTGTAGGGTGAAAAATCTACCAAAATTATGGTCTCTCGGATAGGCAGAGTGACTACCTCTTTCAATCACGACAAAAGTCATTTGTTTTGTCGGTTGCACGTCAAAATTCTGCTTAAGTGGTGGTGTTTTGATAATGTAAGTAACAACTTCAAAACTTGGGTCTTCACAGTCAGCGTATTATCACGGCATAGTGGCGTCCCGACGAAAGGAAGTCACTCAGCGTTCTGCCCGATGGAGTACTACAGGTGGGGCGGGGCGAGGGAAGGCGAGCAAACTCAATTTTAATGATGGGTTGAATAACAAACTTGAGCACTATGGAAGATCAACATTTGACGTGGAGACTCCTAGACATGGGACTAGGACAAAAATTTTCGACTTTTAGCACGATTTCTCCCATCTCAGTATCATATTATCATTCTTAGTCTTGGCAATAAAAAATGAGAACAAAGAATGCCCTATTTGATAGGGGGTAGTTAGCAACGCATGCTGTAGACACATTTACTAAGTGGTATGCAATTTGACATCTTGATGCAATCCTTTTCTATAAATAGGCAGAGCGTTTGGTAGGCCCAGCCTAATTAACGTCAGACTCTCTTGTTTATGATGTAGGTACCATTCACATGCATGCATCAGTTCCTCCATTAAGTCTGGCTTTTGTCCCGCTTGAAGCAACTGAGGGGTGTGCGCAAGTGAGAGCGCTCTGCCCATGTCTGTGGCTACTCCAGCCAGTTACTACGCTAAAAGGTCTCTTTTCTATTGTCCTTCTTGGCATAAGACGGTTGTCATCATAATGTCACCGACTCCGGGGGAGAGGACGTGCCGTGCGCCCAAGAAACAATTTGTTTCTAGTGCTTGTGCAGCCCTCAGGCGTGGAGTTTGAGCACAAAAGTCGACGTGTAACTCCTAACAATGGACATGGGCCACCGGTCACTTTTCAAGGCTCAATTCTGCTAAGTGCTAAAATAAAATCAAATAGCTTTGTTTCGGGCACTCGTTGGGAACGCTTTGATCAACTTTAAGCCTTAAAATTAAAAGTTTACCGCTTCGCCTCAACATTACATCGCAGATTGGAGCATTTGAAGGTTGAAATTTCCGGCCAACTTTTGTGTCCACTGGGAAGCAAAGGTAAAGAATGAGCTAATCGGCCACATGGGATAAAAAATCGGAAGTTGAGGAAAACAATGAATGCTCTTTCAAACAATTGTCTTTATTTCCTCACCGACCGTATGATTGTTAAGCAAAACTACCATTTGTCATTTATTTGCAAGGGCTGCTCTCTTTTTGTATTCCAACCGAAGAAAATTTATCGTCATTAGAAGAAAGCAAAGTGACTTTCAACAATGGGTGCATTTGAGGTTTTACAAAGTTCTAAAAATTCGATGGCCATCTTATTGGTCCAAATCTTTCCCTTTTGGCTAGAAAGTAAGTTAAACAAGCAGCGGTGAACTGCCATGCCTTATTTTTGGCATCTCGGTCTTCGTGGCCTGTGCTCTGCCTTCTTAGGGTTGAAGGAGCAATCCAAGAAACGCAATGTTTGGTTCTTGCAAAGCATTCCCTCAGTTAAACCAATGTTTACCAGTTAAAATGTAGAAGCGATCCCATTTCTTCGACATGCTGCCTCTGGCCTCCGCACCTATGCCTGGTGACTCCTCTACATTTGGGGACTTTGTTGGCCGTTCCATACTGGCTCATCTGTGTTGACGGGTCCTTTTGGAAATCAGTCAAAAGCTAACATTGGTGTCCATGTGGGTGAGATTTTAATAATACAAACTCCCCTGCCATTTCTAAAGGGTAGGAGAGGTCTTGAAGTGAGATAAACATGCTGCGTTGTCTCTTCTCACCCTCATTGCCTCGGTTTTAGTACTCTTTTTTATGAATCTGGAATCTGTGTGAAATGACATCACCCAGATATCAAAATGGGGTGAATCCTGCTTGATGAAACATTTTGCTGCCTTACTTAAGTGCATCGCATTTGCAAGCACCAAGAAGAAGAGTATTCAGGATGAGGAGGAGGTTATCACATTACAAGTTTTGACACTTACGCCCCAATAAGCATGTAACCCTTGCCCTGGAGATGCAACGTGTCCATTGCTCGCAGCAAACCGGCCACCGTTTCGCCTTGACAAAAGCACACCACCACTTTGGCCTTCTGAGTGGGATTGAAGATGTCCTGTGCCAACTCCAAAAAGGCCTCCTCCGTCTCCTTGTTGTCGATGCTTCTCTCCGTTTCAGAGCAAATCTCCATGTCACTCATGCGCGATTTTAGTGCAGCTATGCCTCGGTCTCCGTAGAATCCTGCCAAGAAAGTTCATTTTTTAGCTTAACTTTGACTGTCCATCTCGGTTTTTTTCTATGTCCAGAGCTGACACTTAATCCGTGCAGCCCAACCAATACGCCATTTTCAATGCTGGCTTTCACATCGATTGCCAAAACACACAGGCTTATAACTCCAACCTCTGCATTGCAGTTGGTGAAAGGCCTGAAACCTCATGTACATCCATTTAATTCGCTATCACTAAAATCGAGTTGCTAGGCTCGTGCCAGGAGACAATTGTTGTGGTGTCGTGCAACTCAACTATTTACTCTGTCGAATTGCGTTACAACAAGGGTTCTGCGTAGGGACAAAACCATTTTCTGGGATAGAACACGTGGATCCACATACCTCGGAGTTAATTAAAACTCCGCAACACGAAGTCTCCCTACAGACAGAGGTGCGTAATCATAACTGTCGCCTTTTAGGAGTCACACACCACTTTGCGTACATCCAATAACTCATTCAAAGTAACCAGCTTTCCAGGTGATGGAATGGATGCCAAATACTTTGTCAATTCTGAAGTCCCCTTCCTCGAGAGGGTGTCAAGGAGGAGAGGAAGATTTGAACACAACACGTTGAACGATTTGACTGACGCTTGCATAGCCTCACTCTCTCAAACCCGAAAGGGCGGGGCAACTCCCAATTCCCATTTCTTCTTTTTAAAGTAGCCTTTAAAGAGGTTCCGCCTAATTCCACTGGAGGCAACTTTTAAAGCGCAATAGTCGTAAATGTTTAGTTTTGACACACAAAATATATTCTCTTACTAAACCTCACTTTCTACTCTCATAAATATTTAAAGTGGTAAAATGATAAATCACCTTCAGGTTATGGCCATTTTTCCGTACTGCTTTATAAATAGCATTTTAAGTTTCCAGACACTTCATTTCAGTTTATATCTGCACGAAACGGCATTAAGAAGAAAACCAAATCCTGAAAACGCAATTTCATCGCCTCCCGATGGACTTTTTAAACTAATTTTAAAATGCTACAAAAAAGTGTGCATATAATTTCAGCAAACTGCATTCTTTTGTGGTTCAGTGATTTTCGTAAAAGCTTTTCAATAGGTTGTTAATTATTATGACTTATTGTCGCATATTTCGATGGCAACCTCCCAATTTTATAAATTAGGCATTAACAACAAAACGTAGGCTCGGCGTTGAAGTGGTTCTACTGAGTCTGAGGGACAAAAGGCAGTTTAATGGCTGTCGTTATTAAAAAACTTCCATTGACTGATCCCTCGGACACATCAAGTGTGATGCCGAGAGAGGCCTTCCGACCACTTCGCAACTATTTCAGAGGGTGAAACCAAGTGAAAAGGAATTTGAGGAGATTTTCTTGTACTTATTTTGGCAAGTTAAATGCCCCTGCATTTAGGTTGTCAAGAGATAGTGCAAATGGTGGGAAAACCGAGGCGCGGACTGGGCAAGGGAGGAGAAAAACATTTTTATGGGCCGCGGCATTCCAGGCAAATAAATGCCCAATGGCAGGGCAAAACTTCTTGTTTGCTGGCAAGTCGAAAAGGTTAAACAAAGATTTTGGAGGTACAACTGGTGGGCAGCACTCGGAGCGTCCACCCAAAGCAGACCAGTCTGTCGCACAGCAGTTGAGGGATGAGCAGACAAGTGAACCGAAGGACTGTCAAATTAATTAATCGCTTGGACATTTAATTACCAGTCGGCAATTTTTTTTAAGTGATGAAACTGAAGGAGTTAAGCTGCTAAATGTGGAGCGAATATTTGTGTTCATTGCAACCAAAAGGGCCATACAATAGTTGGAGGACTTAAAGGCTGACCATTTCGTGATATGAGTAAGTTGTGAAGCGTTTTCGTGGGAATATTTGTCTGATTTTACCCTGATAAGCATAAAATTTTGCTTTTCTAAAAAAAGTAAGGCACATAAAAGACCTGCAATTGCTTGCTTCTCTTTTTGACAACGCCGCCAACAAAAAAACATTGCATTTTGGATGTTTTATGCAAAAATTTATCAGAGTTTTTAAAAGGAAACGTCTATGCAACTTTTGCTGTGCAAGTTAAATACGCGAGATTTTGAGGCTCCGCACTTTGTACCTCCTTGAAGCGGTGCAGCATGAAAGAAACCTCAACAGCGTTTCCAGTCATGTGCGTGCCAAGAGTGGACTTTGGAAGTTGTTGGTGCTTCCAACTCCGCTGAGCCTCAAGAACCATCAGAGATGAGCAGAATGCGTAATGCGGCATCGAAATTGTGGAGTCACTCATCTACTTCAGCCTCGCATGCCTCAGCATCTGGTCACAGAATTTGGCAAAGTAGTGAAGTCAACTATTTTGGTAACTCTAAAAGGGTGCCTTCAATGTTTGAAGAGAGCAGAAAGGACTTACAAAGTTGCAAGAGTGGCTTGAATGGGTTGATGTGAGAAATTCAAGGCCCTCTGATAATATTACATTAAACCTCCAATTTTAATTCTCAAATACTTTATTCGAATGGATACAAAAGTCTTCTGGAAGGAAAGTGCCAAATAATTATAACCTTTTCTTCAGCCATTTAAGTAAGTTGTTGTTGATAAGCTGGAAGGCATGATGAAGGACATAAGTTGGTGTCCGAATATCATTTCGGACTTTAACCTTCTGCTCGTAAGACGAGTGTGTGGGCACACACACGGAAAAGGTATTTCGTTCTCAGATGTTCTTAGGATCGAGGGCTTTAGCCCCGTGTTGATGTGCGAGAAGGCACTCCAACGATGTCATTGCATCCATCTTCAAGCACTCATTTTCTTAGTCGCATGACCTGCAAAGGGTGCTCACACGTCTCTGAGGGTATTGGAGGAAACTTCGCTTCTCCTGATCTCCCAATCACTTACCGCACTTGATGGACAGCTCTCATCACTGCATTCATTTGGTAGTAATCTATCAATCACTACAATCAATCACACAATCTTCTAATTTTAAGGTAAACTTCGATTGACATTATCATTTGGTCTACTCAAGAGCACAGCAGTCCCAATTGTGAAAGGAGTTGCTCTTTCATTAGCATGGGCAGACCTCGTCTGGGACAAAAGTACTCACGTGGCTGTGAAACTCAAACAGAAATCGTCAAACACAATCGTAAAT